CAAACCTAACAATTTGGCGACGGTGATTTCGGAAACATGGATCCTTCTAAACTTGAATTATTACTCGAGCAGCAGATGAAACTTATTTAAATGTTAGCAGATGCAAAGTTTACGTCTAATACCCAACCAAGCAGTTCTAATCCTACTACTACTGCACCATCAGTTGATGGTATCGCTAACAATATTTCCGAGTTTAAATGAACTCGTGAGCTTTCAAACATAACAAAACTCTATTCCATATTGATTGATACATTGAAATAAAATGAACAATTTTTGGTTCATATTTACAGTTCACCTTTAAACAGTAAAATAGAACCGAAACTTGTAAATATCATTGAATTACCATATATATATATATATATATATTTCAACACAAATTCAAAAAAAAGGAAACTTTTCAATGTCCAATAATTGTTGTAAAATGAGGTTGACATTTGATCGATCACTGAACTTTTGCTTCAAAACTGAAACTTATATTATCAATCGTCTTCCACATTTGCAGAAATAACAGAGATTTCATTACAAAAATTATTTTATTGGAAGTGTGTGAAATCAATCGATTTACCATTTTATTTTTTTTTTTTGCTGTTAACCTGTTTAAGGAGCTATAGACAGCATACAAACCAGGAAGAAGTGTGCATTACCACAATTGAGCATAATATACTAGTACAGAGAGAGATGAAATTAACACGATGAACAACAAAGAGGTTAAAATAATTAGTGGGATAAAAGAGAGAGTGAGTAAAGAATGTATGAAAGAATATTGAAAATCAAGATTTCGAGAAAGAAAAAAAAAGGCACATACATCACTGCAAGAGATTCTAAGCCATTTCACTCATCAACTTCTAGCGCGGAACCCAACCAGATAGTTTGGAACTATCACTTCAAAAGTTAATGAGTCCATGGATTGAGAAAACTCTTACAGCAATCCAGATAGCGCATTGAGTAGTCATCCTAGTGCAAAGAAATTATGAACGGATTATATAAAAATTCGATCATAGAATTTCGTAGTAGGGTTAAATGAGTTAGAATTGGCTAGTTCCAGACTTTTCAGGGTATTTTCGACATTGAAACCAGATTAAAGGAAATTTCGTGCTACATTCAGTGCACTAGATTTCTAAAACGCCAACCAAACCTCGTTACTTTACTGTTGTTTAAAATTCACTGATTGATAGTCTAAAATAATGCAAGTAATATTCACGATCCGATCAAGTCAGCGAACTTCCCCGAAAAATGGGTCTTAACTGAGACTGAAAAAAAGTTTTTATTCAGAGTGTAAAAGTAATTTTGACACAGATTAAAACTGTCATAACTGAACAGAAAACAGATCTTAGTCACAAGACTAGTTCAAACCAAAAATTGAGAGGACGAAAATCGAGTGTCCGGCGCTTTAACTGGGCTGGTGGATATGAGGAGTGCACCTAGGGGAGTTGGAAAACCTGCATTCCAAACCAATGGTGCATATGGGCTCCAGTATCCTGAAGGAACAAATGGCGTATGAACCAATCGTTGGTCATCGGCTTCCATGGGACTGCATCTCCTTACGATGCTCCACTGCCATGTGGATCAGACCTTCAGGTCGAAGGCTCCGGGTGTGGCCCCCTCAGAAAAACCACCTGGTCCGGTTCGGGCACTCGGACAGTACCACAGCCCTCGCACAAATCAAATGAGACTTATGTGGCGCATATGTATTTGGTGCCTCCTTGTACCAATATCTATGCGTTCAAATAAAATAACACAATACTGACTTGCTTACGTCTGTTACCCCTCGTCAAGGATAGCAGTTTACACCGTTCTCAACAACCACCAAATCAATTTCAAAAACATCAAAATAATACAAAACGTTTTTCCAACTACAAAAAAAAGAGTAGCTGAAGTGTTCCATATGATGATCTCAATAGAAAAGATGGTCTCACTACACATCCGACTTGAACTATCTAACCAAGATACCATGTCTGATACTATTCACATTTCACACGGTTATCGTGCACACAAATTAAACGATGTCCTTTCTCACCATGAAGGTCACATTTTTTCATCCCTGACCTTACACACACACACACAAATTCACATATATGTCGCTTATAAATCACCTTGACCGAAATAACATGATATTGACTTGTTGAGACTTGGTTTTTTGATTGATCGCACATAATATTCTTGCATTATTCTTATGTACTATTTAAACTTGGATAAATTTTTGATTTGGTTATTTATTTACTCTAAAGAAGTAGTTTACATTGAGTCAATATAAAGAATATTATCTTGGATAAACATTACAAAAGATGTTACAGATTTGTTAATAATATACAACTGTTAATTTCGTGGATTGGTTGAGGTTAGACATTAACATTGTTGGATGCCGGCTCAGTGGTCTAGTGGTTAGGTGCTCGCGCACGAAACCAGTAGGTCCTGGGTTCGAATCTCGCAGGGGGCGAGGTCGTGGATGCGCACTGCCCAGGAGTCTCGCAATAGGGCGAAATGGCCGTCCAGTGCTTCCAGGTTTTCAATGGTGGTCTAACATCAATCGGTTCATGATCTCAATCAAAAACTTAACAATCTCCACAACCACTATACTGATAACTGTTAATAAATCAAATAGATTAAAAAGTGTTTGAAATATAAACAAATGAATATACGGAATCTTATAAAACAAAGAAGTCTAGAATGACATTTAAAAAGACTGATAAAACTTTATGCTGTATTACCTTTCAATTTATAAAATTCTTACTAGGATGTTCAATGATAAGATTTCATAGAAATGATGTTGAAAACATATGGAAATCTTTCAATTATGATTTTGTATTCTGTCGTAACGTTTTTGTAATGTAATAAGAAGATGAAGATTATCAGTACTATGTGATGATATATATTAGCGTAATACATTTCGAACAATCTGATCACACATTACATACTTGTTAAGAACATTTATATATAGAAAATAAAACGTCATCTAGACTGGAAATTGGGTAAGAGGAGACAAGATAATAATAATATTAATTTAAGGGTTGTGGAGATTGTTAAGTCTTTTTTTATTGAGACCATGAACCGATTGATGATGCTAGACCACCATTGAGAACCTAGCAGCACTGGACGGCCGTTTCGTCCTATTGTGGAACTCCTCAGCAGTGCGCATCCACGATCCCGCTGGCGGAGCTAATCCGTTTCGGGTAGAAACAGGTGTCTACCTCAGTACAATGAAAGATGGTGGCGCAACTTCATGGATTGGTTGAGGTCAGACATTAACACCATTGGATGCCGACCGGTTCAGTGATCCAGTAGGTTAAGCGTTCAAGCGCGAGACTGATGGTCCTGGGTTCGAATCCCGCGAGCGGGAACACAATTTGACACTTAATCACTTTACGAATAATAAGCTAATATTACCAGGGTAGGTTTAAGGTGAGAACAAACTGTTTTTGAATACACAAAGGGGGTTTGAATATTTGTATGGTTAAGGTTTCAATAAACTTTAATATACCTTATATGTTCTTAACAAGTATGTAATGTGTGATCAGATTGTTCGAAATGTATTACGCTAATATATGTCATCACATAGTACTGATAATCTTCGTCTTATTAAATTATCGAAATTTATCAAAGGGATTAAGTGCTTTAAATAAAGTTTTAGGTTTGAACTACTGAAGTCAAATTTACGTTATTAGATAACATCCAATTTAATATACTGAATGTCAAACTGTTTCATCGATGTCAATATATTATGGAGGCTTAACATGATATTATAGTGCCTGAATTTGTAAATGTAAATCGATTTATATGTCTGAAGATGATAGATTCGATCTTTTTAGAAGTTGTAAGTAGTCATGATTAAGAAGTCGCATATCATGACGAAATAATAATCATCTATTGTTCTTCGTTTTTTTGCTGATTATCTTGCTGAAGTAGTCCGTAATGAAGACTGTTTTCAAAGATCAACAAAATAGGGTTAATATCTACAGATATTATTATGATCTATTTATTTGATAAATCACTCTAAATTCATAAACATATGTACACACACACATCGATACATAAACAAACACTGATACTCATTTGAGTAACCAGAACAAAACAAATCAATATTTTTGATTGAGATCATGAACCAATTGATGTTAGACCACTATTGGAAACCTGGAAGCACTGTAAGGCCGTTTCATCCTATTGTGGGACTCCTCAGCAGTGCGCGTCCACGATCCCGCATCGCGAGATTCGAATCCAGGACCCGCTCGCCCGTGTCGAGTAGAGACAGGTATCTACCTCAGTACTATGGAAGATGGTCGTGCAAATTCATGGATTGGTTGATGTTAAACACTATCACCATCGAATGCCGGCCGGCTCAGTGATCCAGTAGGTTAAGAGTTCGCGCGCAAGACTGAAAGCCTTGGGTTCGAATCCCGCGAGCGGGATCGTAGACGCGCACTGCTGAGGAGTTCCTCAATAGGACCAAACGACCGTGCAGTGCTTCCAGGTTTCAAATGGTGGTCTAACACCAATCGGTTCATGATCCGAATCAAAAACTTAATAATCTCCACAACTCCTATACTGATATCAATAATTGAAAATATTCACATTCAAGAATTTTATTTATGTGTTATACTATTCTATTAACCTCCAAACAAAACCCCAATCAAATACATTTAAATCTCAAATAACTCCATTATATAGGCAAAATAAATAAATAAAAGTAAGTAAATGAACAAAGAATTAGTGAAGCAATTGAGAAAGCCAAATACACATAGAATAAAAGACAATTCAAAATTGTCCAGTTAAAAATTCTATGAATAAAAAAAAGAAAACTATTTCAAGTAGTATAAACGTCTAGATTCTTTGTTTTTCGTCTTTTACTTCGTCATCTTCTTCAGAAAAGAGTTAATACTATGTATGAATAATACTCAATGAATATCAGATGTATAGAATTGAAACAAAAATGTATACATAATAGTGTATTATTAGATCTAATAAGATAAACACTAGAAAATATCTTTCCTGTATTATTATTATTATTATGATACATTATTTGGTGTATCATAATATGCATTTAAATAGCAATGAGCTAATTCAGTGACAATTGAACGATCCGGTATCATTTGTGATAATCCATAAAGAGCAGCCTTTAATTGTTGATTGAAATAAGAAAGAGAATAGATGAAGATTATATAATTCTTAATTAGGAATGATAATTAATTAAATAAGAAAAAAAAAAGAAAGAGATATTCAATGTCAATTGGATTATTTGTAAAAAGATTCTTTGCAATGAATTCTTTTAGGTACAATGCTCTCAAATGCCTTGGTACGGTCGAGAGTGAGGAGAGTCCGCTCTCCCTCTCCAAATGCTCTCATATAATCATTCATATAAGGCTGCTGCCAGGAAGTCCTACTCACTACCTTCTCGTGGCATTACTATTGTTTACGAAATTGAGAGGACGAAAATCGAGTGCCCGGCGCTTTAACTGGGCTGGTCGACACGGAACATCCCAGTTAAGGGAGTTGAAAAACCTTGATTCCGAACCAATGGTGTACATGGGCTCCAGTATCCTGATGGAACAAATGGCATATGAACCAATCGTTGGTCACCGGCTATCATGGGACTGCATCTCCTTATATTTTTCCACTGTCTTGTGGATCAGACCTGTAGGTCGAAGGCTCCGGGTGTGCCCCTCCTAAGAAAATCACTTGCTTCGGTTTGGGCACCCGGGCAGTACCTCAGTCCTCACACAAATCGAATGATTTATGTGGCACATATCTATTTGGTGCATCCTTGTGTTTGAATAAAATAAAATAAAAAGTACTTTTATCGATAATGAACTATAGCTTTGAGTCAAATCAATATATATCTAATAGTTTATTTGCTCATGTGTAACAGGTTATATTGGCCACATAAATTGAGTTATTTTGAAACACATCTTCAAACATTAACTGGATCTTTAAAGAATTGTGAAAGTCAGTTGAAAGCTTAATTCTAGAGCATCTAGTCAATTCTAGTCACTTTACTTCACCAGAAACCTCTTTTAAAATCATACATACAACCAGAAAAGTTGAGAATGCAAATGAAAAATTTATGTACAGTAGAGGCTATTGTTGTGTACCAGTTTAAACCTAACCTTTGTATACAAAAACAATATGTTCAGTTCTTTATTCTTCAATGGTTTTGACCTCACTTTCTATCTTTCATAATCTATCGTTTTTATTAATTAGCAATAATTACAAATTTTAATGATTCTGTCCTGAATAGCTATTGAATAGATGATTATTTCTACCTTATCACTTTTTTCACTAGCCGATTGTTACTTAACTTCCATCTAGACAACATACTACTTCTAGCTTTTTTTTAAAAATTAATTAATATCTTTCTATCTCACTACAAAACATTATTTTAGCCAGTAAAATTGACTATAAATACGACTGTACAGTTTAAGTTAATGAAATTGTCGAAAAGAAAAATTTCATCGCTGAAGTACCATCTTTATTTTTCAATAATGAACTATTTCTACAATTCACAGTCAGTCAATTACAATATAGAATCTGATACTTATGTACATCGGTTCAAGTTACTATACCCTATTTTATCACAGAGAGATCAAATTGTTAAGTTGATTTCCAGAATAGTGGAGATAGTTACAATAAGGTCACTTCACATACAGGAATGAATACAACAGCAGAAAATATTATATGAATGTGATATATTTGAAACTGGTAGGTTACAGTTAACGATCTAAAGGTGTCTTGTTCGATATTTTGGTCTCAAGCTCTAATTATTTTCAATGATACACAATGATGAAGAGACCTAAATTAGGATGATATAATTATTAAATGCTCTCTACATATTGTGTCATTTTATGATTAAAACAATACCGAAAGTTTCGTCAATTCTTTTCAAAAGTGATATTGAAAATTTATTTATGTCAGAAGTCATGGTCAGAATGTGTATGACTGAAGGTTTAGAAACACCAAACTGTTTGTAAGTATGCTTTTTGGTAAGCTCAATCGGAATCAGTTGGAAAAGTGATTCCTTTAGTTGAAATCTTGGAATTTTTGTTCCTAAGCACATGTATAAACTTGAAGTTGGCTCCTCCTTGAAACGTGCATCCTAATTAGTCAATTCTCAAAGTTACCTACTTCAATTCTCATGATAAAGACTAAAAGATTTTCCATTGCAATCATTGATGAAAAGATCTGTAAATAATTTTTTAAAGTGTCGTTTACTTTCATATTCCCTTGGGGTAGAGAGAATAATTACCACATGGCGTTCATTTTTAAGGCTTTAAAAAGTGTGACGGGCTGCCCAATCTGTATGCTTATCTATATGAAATACATAGGTCCTGGCTTTTGAAGTCATGTATGTAGGGACATCCAAACGGTACGCCCCAGGCATGCAAAAGGAACGTAAACTGAAAAAATATCTGCCTTATATCTAATAAGATCAGTGGTCTATGCCAATGAGGTCGAAAACGTAATAAAAGGATATGGTAGCAAATACTAGAGGTAGTTGACCACCAACCCCTCTTGAAAGAGGGCTTATGCTTATGTGCATGCCATGAAGTGCAGGGGTAAAAGCCTTTATACCAGTGATATGCATGTAATATGAGTGACAGTCAGTTGTAGCAAATACGTTTGAAGGGAGTGATGACCATCTACCGTCCTAGGTGAATATACCTATATGTATGTTACGGGATGCATGAGTAAAAACATGTGTGCTAACGGTGTGCAGGTAGAGTAGATTTTCCCTTGGTGCGATGCCCGCGTACCCAGACCCGGAAGTTTTAACGATTCCTCCACTAAATCACGTCTACGTGGTGAGTTCATGAACCTTGGAAAGTGTATTCTAATCCAGATACACTTATTGGCTTTACTAATTGAGGCTTCACCAACCTAAAATGGTTGGAAAACCGCACCGTATAGATGCTATTCTATGATAACTATTATCGACATAAATGAAGTGCATTTCTACTCGTAATTTGATAAATGATATTCTAGCATCAGAACTACTTATTCTTCATTAAAGCCCAGGTGAAAAAAGAATAGCAGTTTTTTTTATTTTGCCACTTCGTAGTGTAGGGTAAAATGTCGCTGCCAATCAGGAGAGGGGGAGGTTGCTGTTCTGCGGACGCCGTCGCGGGCCTGGAGCCGAGGTTCTAGCTGGGGCAGTCTGGTGCGGAGAGGTGGCGTCGAGTGGAGTGTTCTGGCGGGGTGGCGTTGGCTGTAGCGGGTGCTGTCGACGGAAAGGAGCGGTGAGACGTGCGGCTGCTAGGCGGACATCGGATGTCGATGGCTCAGCAGGCCGGTGAAGCACGGGTGTTAAGCGTCCCAGGTGCAGGGTGGATGTAGGATGTTGTTACTCCGGAAGGTCGACGGAGCTATGGAGTTCAGCGCGCCGCAGACTCGAAATTTTGACGAAGAGCGTAGCACAGACTGCAGAGACGAAGAATATGGCACGGCGAGCATGAACCACCGCAAGAACGACTGCCTTAAGGGGGGACGAGTGTGGTGCGTGCTACTTATACTGATATAAGTAGTATATAATGTGAGTCAGGAATGTAATGTCTGGCAGCAGAAGATGGGGGAAGATCAAGAAAGGAAGAGCAGGGATAAAAAGCAATTAGTATGGAAATGCAAGAACAATGAAGTTCGAGACAATTATTAAACGTTTTGCAAATTAAGTATTATAGTACGGTTTTTCTACTTTACCAAGCAACTCTGTAATTTTGTGCTAAATAACTCGACTGTCCCCACCCGTGTTCTGATTATCATCATCATCACTGAAACTTACACTATCAACCACCATTACATTTAAGGATTCAATTTTAAATAGGCGACAATAGATTTATTTAAGTCATTTATCACGTACAGATTCATACAATTAGCTTTAAGCCAGACTCTGAATATAAAAATTATCAATATCAACCAGTCACCTAAACTGAAGTAGATAGACTCAAGGATCAAGGATGGGGACTTTATAACTGGAAGTCGAACGCCTTAAACTTTTGAGCTACTTTCTTATGTAAACACCAATATAACAAGAACAGAATTTAAAAAAACTCAACTTACTGAACCTTCAGATTTTTTATTTGGTTGTTTTATTAATTCTTTAGCTATTTCTTTTACATCTTGAATAAATTGTTCTGCACAACCTTTTGTTGTATGCATATCTGTAACACATAAATGAATCGCTGGTGGAAATTGTAAATTATTTAAATTCCAACCACGTCCATTTGGTTTATCTGATAATAAATGACTTAATTTATATATATCAAAATTATTTGAACTAAATGCTACAATGGAAACATTTGGTTCACCAAGTACAAAAATACCCGGTATTTTACGTAATCTAAATGAAATAAGAAAAGATAATTATCAGAATGGGTTTTTGTGGAGATTTATAGATTTCAATAGTTGAAATCATGAGTCAATTGAACCTAGGTCACAATGGAAAACCTGGAAGCACTGGACGGTCGTTTCGTCCTAGTACGGGACTCCTCAGCAATGCGCATCCACGATCCCGTACCCCACGAGATTCCAACCCAGGACCTATCAGTCTCGCGCCAGGAGCCGGCCGGCATCCAACGGTGTTAATGTCGAACTTCAACCAATCCACGAAGTTGCGCCACCGTATGCCATTGTCTTCAGTGAGTTCCTATCTCACAACAGACCTGGGTGAACTCCACTGAGGAGTCCCATACTAGGACGAAACGGCCGTCCAGTGCTTCCAGGTTTTCCATGGTGGTCTAGCTTCAATTAACTCATGATTTCAACCAGTAAAAGATAATTAATAAGATTTCATAAATATTTCATAATATCCTGATTCAGGTAAATCTATGACAAATATAACCTTTAGATTAAACCAATCTCCACAAAATCTCTTCAACAAAAATACACTGATATTTGATGGCTAGAAATAACAGGGTAGGGGACACATTTCTTGATTTAGGTTTTCTACTAACTAGCATTGGTTATTAAGGCGTGTATCTAAGATACTCAAGTAACCAATGATCTTCTGTGGGATCTAAATATATGTCACCTAGCTTCACATTCTGAAATGTTACTGCTGAACTATTCAAGCTATGACTAACCTTCTTATTCAAATCTTACAGAGTATCGTTTATATCAAACCGGTAAGTAACGTTTGTTGAAAAATGTGGACTGATAAAAAATCTAAGTAAAGCAGAGTTCCCTATCGACTATCTCTAACCAACTAGTATCTCAAAATAGTGGACGCACTGTTAAGTCACCTAGAAATAGTGGCTACAATACAATTTGGTTAATAGGATTTGAACATCACTAAAAGACTAGAAAAACACAACATTAATCACTGTTTAATGATTAATTTATTGTATATGACGATTTGTCACACTGTAAAATATGAACGACAGATGGATGAGGGGGGGGGAGCGGTGAGAGAGGAATGTCTTCGGCTCTTTAGAGGTTCTTCGAGTTTACTAAGGACCGCTTCTACATTAACATTTAATACTTTTTAAAAGAGATGGTGGAGAAGATTTGTAGCTCATGTGGATGATCTTGGTGGAGTTTTGTTCTCTGAGTTGGATGGTTTGGTCATGGAGCTTCCATCGTTCTTCTGAACGACATCATCAGCACAAACTTCAGATAGAAGTGAAGCGTTTGAATTTCTCCATATGTGTTTCAAAGCCTGTTCTGTGCACCTCGATGTTGATTGGTTCTTATTGACTTTAAATTTATCATTGTTTACTTCTTTGTTTTGGTTGTGTCTCCCATTGGTTTGATGATGTCGTTTAGAAGAACGATGAAAGCTCCATGACCAAACCATCCAGCTCAGAGAACAAAGCTCCACCAAAACTTTTTAAAAGATGATATTTGTTTAAGTTAATAATCATAGTATCAATTCAGTATAAATTTTGTTCAATAAGACAAGTGTGAATTTTTGTTCAGTGTGATAATTATATTCCCTGTATTAATTTCATCAACTGGACTTAATTCAGTGTGTGTATTTACAGTAATTTGATGTATTTTCTCTTATATGTGATATTATTGTGTGTAAAAATTAGTATATAAATGATCTCAATCAAAAACTTAATGATCTCCACAACTCCTATACTACTAATCAACATGTGCTCACTAGTGATTAGCTTCGTGAGGGAATTCTCGGAGTTCTAGTGAAAAGCCGTGACCAGTGGAGCTAATCCATGTTGGGTAGAGACAGGTATCTACCTCAGTACTATGGAAGTTGGTTGTGCAATTTCATGGATTGGTTGATGTTAGACACTATCACCATCGGATGCCGGCCGGCTCAGTGGTCCAGTAGGTTAAGAGTTCGCGCGGGAAGACGAAAGCATTGGGTTCGAATCCCGCGAGTGGGATCGTGGATGCGCACTGTTGAGGAGTCCCACGATAGGACGAAACGGCCGTCCAGTGCTTCCAGGTTTCCAAAGGTGGTCTAACATCAATCGGTTCATGATCTTAATCAAAAACTTAATAATATCTACAACCCCTATACTAGTGATTGAACTCACTTGGTGTTATTTTACTTGTATCTTCCCCTTTGCTATTTAGGACTGTAATTGATCAGTCCTCATGTTGGCATATGTGCATCCTGTGCAGTTTTAAGTATTATATTTTTGCCTGGTGAAAATGTAATTTTGAGACTTGTTTGAGAACGTGTTTTTAACTTACGCAAACCATAACATTTGAGGTCTAACTATCAACCGTATATTATTCAATTTATGAACAGAAATTCAATAATCCAAACTTCTCATTATAAATCTTCTCGTAACAAACCATGATCAATGACGCCATATAAAGTAATAGGTACTTAGCATATGAAGATTTTAAACGAAACAAGAAAAAAACAAAGAAAGTAGCCGAAAATTATCTTTTGGTTTTCTATGATTTATCAGTCCAATTGATACAAATTTAATAACTAGAATAGGAATAATTTAGCTTACTCATTTATAATATATCGAGTAGTACTGATGATACGTTTAGTAGATTTGCAATAACCATTTTCTCCATGATACATCATCGTTGCCCAGCAAGTAGCAATTAACGCACCAGGTCGACTTCCTGAAGTGAGGATAATTTTATATTAAGTTGAACAGAGTAATATTGACATTCAAACTGAAGAAGTCATGTTTTTATCATTCAGTTTACACATTCAGCGGTTAAACAAACAAAAGAATGGAATACTCACTCCCCCCCTACCACCTACATTCACTAATTTATAACTAGCTTTAAAAAAAGAGATGGACTAATACAAATCCTAACTGTATAATATACATTTACTCATCAAATTTTATTGAATAATGATAGAATGTCCAAAAGATATATCTATCTATCAATCTACAGAGAGCCGATATGAAATAATCAGAAGAAAATGATTAATCATTATCAAAGTAATTATTATTATTTATTTTAACACATAGATATTGGTACAAGGAGGCACCAAATACATATGTGCCACACAAATCTCATTCGATGTGTGTGAGGGCTGTGATACTGCCGGGTGCCCAAACCGAACCAGGTGGTTTTCTTAGGGGCTCATACTCGAAGCCTTCTACATGAAGGTCTGATCCACAAAACAGTGGAGCATCGTTAGGAGATGCAATCCCATGGTAGTCGGTGACCAACGATTGATTCATATGCCATTTGTTCCATCAGGATACTGGAGCCCATGTACACCATTGGTTTGGAATCAGGGTTTTCCAACTCCCCTAGGTGGACTCTCCATGTCCACCAGCCCAGTTAAAGCGCCGGACACTCGATTTTCGTCTTCTCAAGTTCGTAAACAACAGTATTGCCACGAGAAGGTAGTGAGCACGACCTCCTTGGCAGAGGCTATATACGCGTGGTCATGTGAGAGCATTTCGAGAGGGAGAGCTAACTCTCCTCACTCTCAACCGTATCAGGGCATTTGGGGGCAAAGTAATTTATATGATAATCTTGTCTTTCAAACGGATAAGTTTGAAGTTTCGATGTTACTAAGGAAAATATAATTCGCTGATGAAAAATAAAATCTGATTGAAAAGGATTATTCAACAGGAATCATTAACAAAATTATAAAGCTGAATCCTTTCACAATTGTATCGAAGTAAAAATTTAACATGATTATTCCAATTACTGATAATTCTGATGCTAGAAGCTTAAACTTCCATAAACAAACATTTCCTGATAATGTGTACAGACCAATTTTGTATGTTCTAGATCATTTGCTTCTTCAGAGCCTAGTATATTGTTCGATTAATGGGATGGATTATCTGTCAAGATTCAAAAACTTTTTAAACAAGTTCAAATAGATACTAAACAGTGAATGGTTAGAGGAAACCGGTTGGGGACGTTAGATCCCCAGAACTCATTTGGAAAAGGCCCTAAGTTTGTAATTTTATTTTGAAAATTTGAATTTCTTTGTTTTCGCGGCAAAAGCGCTCTTTTCGCCTTCATGTCGTATTTCCCATTTGGGAGGATCTTAAACGCTATTGGTCCGTTGTGTCTTTTAGTATGCTACTTTATAACGCTTCCCAAGGACGGTTTTGTGCTGTATATAAACGTTTTGATTTGTGTCTGTTTTTATCTCTCGTGCTTCTGGCTTTTTGCGGAATATACTTCTCCGTTCGGATTTCGACTTCTCTTTCTAGTTAGCGGGGTTGGGACGCAATAGAATAGCTAGTTTATTGGTCTTTGGTCACCGAGTCTTTGTTCCGTTCGCAGATTAAATGGACTTGTAACCGCTTCAAACCTAGCAAAACCCAATTGTTACTAGAAGTGTGTATGTGCTTGATTCTTTACAGATGGTTGCATTATGAAAAGATTTGTTTCATTTCGAGTGGTTTGGAGATGAAAAGAGGTTAATATTCGCGACTTATTCATCCTGAGATCGTAATTAGAGAGCTATTTGATGACAATCACACGAAACGGATTTTGATTTGTTTTTCATGTGTGAGCTGTTTACTTTTTAAACCTTCTCAGTAGCGCAAATTAGCTCTTGAAATATTGATTTAGTTCTTTCAGTCTTACCTTAATATGGTAGAACCCTTAAGAAGAAAATGCTTCAGAAAATTTCGCACCACTAGGTCAGCACTAATGTCAAGTCCGATCATTGAGTCCAAGTTACAGGTATAGTTATGCAAATTTTAATGATGGAAAACTTTATTCCGATGAAAGGTTTGTGGAAAATTTTCAATTGGAAGGTAGTTTATATCATAGATTGTTTGGATAGCCGTTGAAAATCAAGGAGAACTGGATAGCTATTTCATCCTAGTATGGGTGTCTACCGAGGGGTGCCCACTCACAATCCATTTAAGTACTAAATCCAAGACCTTCAAACCTCATGGTGACTATATTTCCTACAGACAACTGAGTTGAGGATCAGCTGGTCTGTTTATCCAACTTCAGTCAATATGAGAGACCTGGAAATGCTCGATTCGATTCCTGGCTGTTGTGAATCCCTAATACTAAACAGTCCAGTACTAGGACGAAACCACTGTTCAACGGACCTTGCTATTCAAAGGTTATTTAGTAGGAGTCAATCTATAATGAATTATTTCTTTAAATGTCAGTATTAATTATTTGAATGTAACAACATCTTCACTTAAAGTCAACTATAAGCTAGTTGAAAACTTGCTAAAATAGGTAATGCACTTTCAGCTGCCAAATTGTCTGAATCTTTTAGTTCCAGAAAAAAAGCTCATAACATTCCATTTTCCAGTTTATTTATTCATGTCATAGTGTCGTGATACTTAATAAAGGCTGGTATCTCTTGATCCTTTATAACTCATTGGTTGGTGTCCTAGAGATAGTGCAACAAGGTAGCTTGAGACGTTATCAGGTATGCCTCACTCACTCACTCACTCACTCACTCACTCACTCACTCACTCACTCACTCACTCACTCACTCACTCACTCACTCACTCACTCACTCACTCACTCACTCACTCACTCACTCACTCACTCACTCACTCACTCACTCACTCACTCACTCACTCACTCACTCACTCACTCACTCACTCACTCACTCACTCACTCACTCACTCACTCACTCACTCACTCACTCACTCACTCACTCACTCACTCACTCACTCACTCACTCACTCACTCACTCACTCACTCACTCACTCACTCACTCACTCACTCACTCACTCACTCACTCACTCACTCACTCACTCACTCACTCACTCACTCACTCACTCACTCACTCACTCACTCACTCACTCACTCACTCACTCACTCACTCACTCACTCACTCACTCACTCACTCACTCACTCACTCACTCACTCACTCACTCACTCACTCACTCACTCACTCACTCACTCACTCACTCACTCACTCACTCACTCACTCACTCACTCACTCACTCACTCACTCACTCACTCATTCACTCACTCACTCACTCACTCACTCACTCACTCACTCACTCACTCACTCACTCACTCACTCACTCACTCACTCACTCACTCACTCACTCACTCACTCACTCACTCACTCACTCATTCACTCACTCACTCACTTACTCACTCACTTACTCACTCAAAAGTTATTTTATTGACAGAGAACATTTTAATGGTAAAAAAAGAAAAGAAAAACCTAGAACTGTTCAATGACAATTAAAAGTTTATTGATGTTACCCGTAAACATGTTTATGTAAACATAATGCTTCATCAATAAGAACAACAACAACAGTTATATAGAAATCAGAAAATTATTGTGTGTTTTTTAACTGTCATAATACATAACTTTTATAAACGTGTTGATATTATAAATACTACTAACATTACTACTACTACTGCCATTACTACTACTACTACTACTACTACTAATAATAATAATAATAATAATAATAATAATAAAGAGTTGAACATACCTGGTAAAGTTGATGAAGCATATATGCCACCAGGCCAAGTTGTCTGTGTAAAGTATTGTTTAGATCGGTAATATTGATTTCTATACATTATAACAGATGTGCCTTTTGGTGCAAACCCGTACTACAAAGAAAGGAATGGGTAATGAGTAAGATTAATAATAATAATAATAATAATAATAATAATGGGTGGATCTTAGTCTGATATCTTGTACAGATTAATTATGACTGACAGATAAGATTGTCTGGATAAGAAATGGCCCAAAAAAACAAATAATATCGTTCAATAATTAACAAGTATAAGTTCATATAGTTAGTTTTAAGCCATAATTTCGGTGAATAGAATGATAATTATAATCAATTACAGAAGAGATTCAAATTTATATGTCAGAATGAGTTATCTAAATAAAAACAACAAAAGAAGATTCACTTCTTCTAATAACAATTATTAAGACCAACTCGATTTGTGTGCCAACAACTGCAGGAAAAACAAATCAATATTGGAATTCCTGGGGTTAGTCTTAAAGAATTACTTTTAAAATGCACAATGAATGTCCATTTTGTCTTTAATAACACATATTATAGACAAATTGATGGTATAGCGATGGGTTCGCCACTAGGTCCCATCCTTGCGGATTTTTTTCTGGCGAAACTAGAAAACGGACCTCTCAAGGAGGTTATCAATAAACTGGATTTCTACTGTCGTTACGTTGATGACACCTTCATCATTGCCGATCAGAACATTAGAAAAGAACAACTACTGGAACTATTTAATAACAAACATCCTGCTATTAAATTTACATGTGAGGAGGAAATAGATAACAAACTAAATTTTCTGGACGTTTTGTTAAGTAGAAAAGAAAATGGTTCTATCAGCAGGGGTGTGTATAGAAAAAGTTCTTCGCCAAGCCAATACACACATTTTTTAAGCTTTGTGCCTCTTCATTATAAGAGAAACTTAGTCAAATGTCTTGCAAATAGAGCTCTTAAGATATGCTCAGTCGACACTATTGATAGAGAATTACAACACATTCATAATATTTTGATTGAATTGGGATATCCACTGGGTTTCCTGAAGAAACACTTGCGCGTAAAAAACAGGAAAATAGTGACCCTGACGGCTAATAAGAAACCGCTTTTCTTGAAACTGCAATTCAATGGTGATTTGGCTAGCGATGTATTACGGGATAGATTGACTAGAGCAGTAAAGAGAACGTTTAATGCTGCCAACCTCTGCCTATCGTATTCGACCCGATCGATGGTGATTCCGCAATTGAAGGATAAGTTACCTGGTTATGCCACTTCTATGTGTATCTACGAATTCAGCTGCTCCTGTGGAGAAAGCTATATTGGGCGCACTACCAGGCAACTGAACCAACGAGTTAGTGAACACCTCCCTTCGTGGTTAGGAAAAGGTTACGTCAAAACAATACGCAGCTCGGTTCTATCACACTTGATCGATAGCGGTCATATAGTGGACAGAAACAAGTCGTTCAAAGTTATTTACCGGATTCCCACTAGTTTTCCTTATGGTGTTCGATCTCGTCTCTTACACATAGCAGAAGCTATAGGAATCCGAGCCAACAAGCCAAGTCTTTGTGTTCAGAAGAAATTTGTAACTCCCTTATCTCTCCCTTGGCCTTAAGTAATAAATGAATTTATTTATTTATTTCTTTTCTAACTTTCTCTTCGTTTAAAAAGAAGAATATATTTGTAAAATCTCAGCGAATATATTCGATAATTTTGTTGTTTGATTATATTTTCCTTGAAAAAGCTTGTACCAGATTGCCAGGCGAAACGTTGGATTTACTTAAAATTCATTCGCTGAGATTTGACAAATATATTCTTCTTTTTAATGTCTCAAATTAACTCGGCGCCCAAATATTGTGAAACTATTCGTTCAAATTTAGACGAAAGTTCTTATTTATTTCTCTTCGTTTATTATTTTTCTTCACACCCTCCTACCACTCTATTTCTCTCAACTATACGTTTCATGGTCCAATTATCTGAACATTTCATATTACGTCATCTTATAATCTTCATAATTGTTATCTCAGTTTCTATATTTTTCTAATCATTGACCTATTTCAGATTATGTAACATTGATTTGAACCTTTATTATTATTGCTTATCAAAAACTAATGCACCTGTTGTCACATCATCAATTTGTACTTTTCACATTTTACTTATTATGTAATCTTTTCCATTGTTATCATTGACTTATAAACTACCTTGATTGGTTTAATAATTTCGTATATGCATATAAATATTACTGTATATTAGAGTAAAGCCTGATGAGGATCTAATCGAAAACAATATTGTTCGCTTATATATGTTGTTCTAAATTTACAATATGGGAATATTTCAAAATTTAAACTCGAATCACATAAAATACTGTAGTGGACGCTATTCACAAGGATATTTGTAAGTAGTATGTAGCGGAACGTAGTATCGAAGTGGTAACAACTGTCAAACAGATTGACGAGTTTTAGTGCATCAAAAGCAAAGCGTTGGTAGAACACTTTGAGACTAGACAAAAAGACAGTTCAGATGGTAGAACATACTGAAAGATGCAAATTAACGATTGGAGGTTATCTAAATATACGTTTCTCCTGCCTATTGTTTTGATTTACAATACTACAAAAAAAAAAACGTTGAATATTATATCATGTGAATTCTTCTAAAAAGATTTAACAGTTTATTATTTCACCTAAATTCTGTGTACTTCAGTAGTGTGCACCTACGACACTGAATACGATCACATTCGAGTAATGTAAAGATATAACGATATATTCAAATTATTAAGTAGGGATTCGAAGGTACACAACTTTGACCGATTTACCACCATGCAGTGTGTTTCTCATTCAGTGTTATTGACGAATTACAGCCTCAATATGGTTGACTCTATAGACAACGAGACCTACGTATTTTGAACTCAATCTCATAAAACAAACACAACGAAGTGCGCCACATCATCCAAGAGTTTAAAACTAGATAAAACTGGCTCCCCAATATTCCTTCGTTTCCAATAATTGTTTAAATATTGTCAGTTTATGATGAGAATTACTTTGAAACTTTTATATATTCTTTCAACTAAGTTGTGTGTTAGGTTGATTTCTGACTAAGTGATTGAAGATTGTAAAATAAATTGTAATATACTTTGATTTGAAGTAAGAGATGAACGATTTGTAATTAAACTATTAAAACCATAGAATGCAATAGTCAGTCAGTCACTCAGTAACAACGTAAAACTTCGTACGTATGTACATCAGTTCGAGTTGCCATACCACATTAGCACATAGAATGCATAGAATGCAATAACACTCAGAGTTAAACATTATTGAGATAAACTGTTCGTTTAAAGCACAAACCATATATCATACAACTAAAATAAGACAATATATAAATATGTTCATGTTTACTGAATAAACATTAGTAGATAACTCATATAAAAGATCATCAGTGGAATCCACGATGCGGATTTAATCTTATCTGGGACTCGTCAGAACCAGTGTTGATGTTCATAATCATAGTTAGAAATCAATACCTTTTTACTTTAAAATCTAGTTCTGAATATCAAAAACAAGGTAGCATAAACTTTTATGAATAAGAAAGAAAACTAATCAAGTATTTTTTAAGGAAAGCAAAACTAACCTTATGTGTATCACATGATATACTTGTGACACCGGGCAACCGAAAATCGAATTCTCCAATTGGATAACTAACTTTTTCCATAAAAGGTAAAAGGAAACCACCTAAGCAACAATCCACATGAACTGGTATATTATATCTATGACCTAACTATGGTAAGAAGAAAAAAAAGAAAATCCTGTTTAAAACTCAATGGTAGTCAGTGTATAGCCAGGAAAATAAAGTGTTAATCTAATTCTTCCCAAAAGTTAATATACACAATAAGATGCATAAGAAAAATAAAGAGCGAATACGTAATCGCTAAGCCTCTGTAGCCATTTCTGAAAAGGTTATTTGACATTTCCGAAAGTTGATCGAATCGATGCCCTATCAGGTAGTTTGGATCAACCAACATGATTCATTACGATAGTTTCATGAATTGACATCAGCTATTGGTTTGAACGGCACTAGGTTTCATGCAACCCATTTATTTATCAGTAAGGCAAAGTAGGCGATGGTTAAGAAAATGTAACATATGCTTGCTACTCCCAAACCTTAGTCGATCAGAATTTATCACAGAATAAACTACTGAATAGGAATATTCAGATTGGCAGTAGTATATATCGAAATCTGATTAGGCTGCTTTCGTTTAGTAAACTGTAGGTTAGTAATAGTACGATAACTATGTTGAGCCAAATAATTCTATGATCATTATTATTTGTGTAAGTACTGAGACAGTGTTCAGATTTCGTATTTAAGCGCCTTTAACTTTAAAATATAGTTTACCAAACATCAAGAGATACAATGTTATGGTAACTGATGTCTAAAGTAGATTCATATATCCTTAATTCCTTCAGAATCTAGCTGCCAATGTACGCCATTATCTTTATAAACTCTCATTATTAACCAGTCTGATACAACCAATGAACATTCCACTTGCAAACTCTTACTTTTGCAACAACAACAACAACAAAAAATCACTCATGGCACATGAACACAGTAGGTACAGCATTCCTATATGAGGCTATAAACACTTGATTAAATGGATGTTTCGGAAGGAAGAGATGATCTTTTTTTCTAGGAATAAAACAAACAATTCAACAGTTAGTCAATGTTAATGATAAAACGTTAAAGACAGTTTGTCATATTTAAAAAAAGGATAGAAGTGATTCACGAGTTATGACTAGGCTCAAATATAAATGGACAAAGAAGTAACTAACTTTAGCAATTTCTTCTATAGGATCAATTATTCCATGGGGAAATCCTGGTGCTGAACCAACAAGCTACAAAAACATTTAGAAATATGGTGAAAACTTAGACATATCAATGAAATCTAAATAACAAGTTCACTAAGTACATACATTTCAACTTAAGCTTGAATAGAATTAAAGCCTTAGACTAACATATTAGTATATTCATCTAATTATTATCAATATTTTAACCACTTCAAAAACTATGAATATACTTTGAATTGTTAATATTGATGAACAACGATGACTAGGCTATAATCCAACTTTGTATGCTTTTGACTTCATGAATAGATCTTAGATTTGATCCCTAATGAGATGATGGATGTGGACTGTTAAAAAGTCCAATAATAGAACTTCCTGTTATTCAATGATTGTTTAATTACAGTTAGCCCGTAATTACCTAGTTACTTACTCCTGTTACTCCCAATGGAGCGTAAACTACCGACAAGCATTCTCCAACCCACTCTGTCCTGGGCCTTTCTTTCCAGGACTATACAATTGGTGTTGATTTTTCTCATGTCTGTCTCCATTTCTCGGTGTAATGTGTTCTTTAGTCTTCGTCTTTTCCTTTGGCCTTGAGGATTCCAAGTGAGGGCTTGCCTTGTGACACAGTTGGGTGCTTTCCTCAATGTGTGTCCTATCCATTTACAGCGATTCTTCTTGATTTCTTCCTCCGCTGGAACCTGGTTTGTTTTCTCCCACAGTAGGTTGCTGCTGATAGTGTCTGGCCAACGGATCCGAGGTATTTTGAGTAGTCAACTGTTAATAAACACCTGTATGATTGCTTTCGTAGTTCTCCAAGTTTCCGTCCCATATAGTAGAACTGCCTTGACATTTGTATACAAAATTCTGACCTTGATGTTGGTTGACAGTTGTATTGAGTTTCAGATGTTGTTCAATTGTAGATATGCTGCTCTTGTTTTACCGATCCGCTCCGTCACATCTGCATCAGATCCACCGTGTTCATCAATGATGCTGTCCAGATATGTTTTTACATCTTCCAAATCTTCTCCATCAAGTGTGATTGGATTTTTGCATGCTGTGTTGTATTGGAGGATCTTGCTTTTCCCTTTGTGTATGTTGAGACCTACTGCTGCTGAGGCTGTTGCTACACTGGTCATCTTCTTCTGCATTTGTTATTGAGTTTGTGATAGAAGAGCCAGATCATCTGCGAAGTCTAGATCGTTCAGCCGTATCCTAGCTGTCCACTGTATCCTATGCTTCCCCTCAGATATTGACGTCTTCCTGATCTAGTCGATCACCAAGAGAAAGAGAAAGGGTGAGAATAAGCAACCAAGCCTGACACCGGTCTTTACCTCGAACGAGTCTGTCAATTGTCCTCCATGCACGTAATGTAAATTACAAAATCTTTGATTAGCTAGTTAGTTCTACAAGCCTTTATATAAAAACAAAATATGACTCAATATTGAGTATACGATCAGTATATTTGGTTACTAAGTTTTATGTCTATATAATGATTGGTATAAAAAAAAGGTCATCATGTCAGAAATATTTTAAAAAGGTTAGTGGTTAGTCTCAGCAACCTAAGGACAAATAATAATTTAACAATACCATATTAACTTGGTCATCTAAAAGGTAGAATTCAGTCAAGATTTAGAATCAAATAACACTAAACTGAATAATGAGTTTGTAGATATCATTACCAAAGTTTGATTTGATAATTTCGAATAAATTGAGGATTGGGTAGATTTTTATAAATAAATAAGGATATTTGTAATATCCTAATGAGTAGAAAAATGAGATTTTCTGACGTTTCGTGACTTAGTGTAAGCCACTTCTTCATAGAATAAATAAATCTGAAGAAGTGGCTTACACTAAGTCACCAAACGTCAGAAAATCTAATTTTTATTAAACTGAATAGTATTTTGACAATCATTAAGTTATAAAGTTAGTAAACCTGTGAAAATATCATCAATAATTATTCCTTTGTAAAAATTTTGCTCAATAAAAAACACGTACCAAACTTTAAGTAAAATAGTCTGACTTTGAATGATCTCAGTCATTAAACAAGGTAGGATTTGATATGAATATGTATCGGATCAAGTTGATACAAATCACAGTAGTACAGTCAGTCAGCAACAACGTAGAATTTCGTACGTATGTACATCAGTTCAGATTGTCATACCACAAAGATACAATTGTAGTAGTACAATGAAACAACATAAGAAATAAAATGGGAAACTGTTATATCCCGATGAGTATAATGAATGGTAAGTCTTGGGATCCATTTATGGATCAATACCACACACGCATATCTTTATCGCATAATTGTTAAATAACTAAACTATTCATATTCGTGTTCCTCTTGTCATAAGATTTATTCTGACCTATGAACTATTATTATACGATTTACGATTCTTGATTTATGCCCTGTCTATTGATTACTACATGCCATATTCATAGCCACATTTTGCTAAATCTTGTACAAATGTTATTTTCTATTTTATGATGTGGTGTGGTCTGTCTGGTTGGTATATAGACCGAGTATTTTTTAAATAAATGATTCATATCGCAGAGGCTGAGATTGGTGTTCTGGACTTAACTGGTTGGGCTAGGCAGGAAGCAGGATCGATAAGTACCTTAGACTGCTTGCAGAGGTTTTATGCGTCATTGATCCGATCGATAATGCACTGCTCTCTAATTGGCAGTATCATCACATTATACATTAACAGGGCACACAGGTCACAATTTATAACAGCAACATTATAATAACCACCAAAATGGACAGATAAACGCAGGAAATATAAATTAAAAGTAGCGAATGAGATCAAAGAATGTTAAGTAAACTAGAAATGTAACCATGTCAATTATAAATTATGATTTTCCTATAGCTATCAAAATAAGAAGAATAAAAGAGACAATAATAGAATGATTATTCAAGTACAAGAGAACAATATAAAAGAAACAAGAAATGATAAACGTACCATACATGTATCATCGGTTATTGATGATTTCATTTCAATCATATCTACTTGATACGTAATAGGATCCAATGGAACATGAATTACTTTAATAGAAAAATAATGTGCAGCCTAAAATGTGATAAGTGAAAAGTAAAAAAAAAACAAAAATCAAATGATGAAAATGAACTGAGTGTGTATTGGGATTGATTGGAAAAAAGGTTAACCCATTATGTTAATTGGTACTTGTTATTAAGATTTATATGTAATTTTGATGGGACTAATGATCAATTGAGATTAGATGGTGGTTGGAGGTAGTCGACACGAAACCCTGGACCTGGGTTTCGTGCTACTTGGCACTCGTCAGCAAGGTGTAACTGTAATCTTGAGGGAAGTGGTGCTCCCTGCCGGATTCGATCTCGTGTCACTCAGCTTCAGTGTCAGAGAAGCTACTACTGAACTATCCGAGCCGCGACCGACCTCCTGTAGGACTGAGATGCCAGGGAGCACCAGTTCCCTCAAGATTACAGTTAGACCTTGCTGACGAGTGCCAATTAGCACGAAACCCGAGTCCAGGGTTTCGTGTTGACTACCTCCAACCACCATCTAATCTCAATATATAGTGCACGCAGTGTCGAGTCACCTAGACTGGTGGCCACATTGCAACATGGTCGATAGCATTCGATCTGCACTAATAATAAGGACTAGACACGCATGACATTGATCACCACCCAGTGATCAATCAATTGTGACTAATGATAAGTCTTTGTATGATCCTAGGATGAATTATCCAATGTACCAGTTTGAGATATTATCACTGAGTTTTTTAAAGCTTCTGATTGATTATTTTATATAACTAAGATATTAACATTGATTGATCGTTGAGTGATGGACCAAATACATGTGTCATTAGTGCTGATCTATTTTTACTAATCAAACTAGTAACAGATCACAATATTATATCAGGTAATAGGTGTATGAACCTAAGAAGTCGCGTTAGCTCTAATAAGAAGACAATTGAAGGAGACTCAAAATAATTTATTTTATATTCAATTATTAAACATATAGCGTATTACTGTACAGTCATGATGGTGGTGAGTGGTTAATTCCGAAAAAAAATATTTCTTTCCTGAATATCCTAACATTTTTAATGATTCTCACTGTTTATACCATGTGACAAACTATCCTAATTTGAATAGATGAATGATTTGTGAACAATTTTATTCCTGATCACAGGACTATTAAATAAAATAATGTAAGAGAATTCAACAAGATAGATAAATTGATGATAGTCTAAATCAAGAGCTAATTTGATTCAATTAGATGATCATTGAAAACTAGGGAGTAACAAACATGTGTTTCTATCTGATCTCGAACTCAACAGTTAGTAGGAGATTTGGATGTTTTGAGGGTTCACTCCATGATATGTTTAGGAGGGTGTACCCCTTGTTAATGAATTCAAAAATAGAACATACTTCAGTTTGGGAAGGTAGATATAACTATTTAGAGTAAATAAGCCCCCAAATGCCCTGGTACGGCCGAGAGTGGGGAGAGTCCACTCTCTCTCTCCAAATGCTCTTACATGGCCACGCGTATATAGCCTCTACCAGAGAAGTCCTACTCACTACCTTCTCGTGGCGGGGGTGTTGTTTACGAAATTGAGAGGACGAAAGTCGAGTGTCTGGCGTTTTAACCGGGTTGGCGGACATGGAGAGTCCACCTAGGGGAGTTGGAAAACCCTGATTTCAAACCAATGGTGTACATGGACTCCAGTATCCTGAAGGAACAAATGGCGTATGAACCAATCGTTGGTCACCGACTACCATGGGATTGCATCTCCTTACGATGCTCCACTGTCTTGTGGATCAGACCTTCAGGTCGAAGGCTCCTGGTGTGGCACCCGGGCAGTATCACAGCCCTCACACATATCAAATGAGATTTGTGTGGCGCATATGTATTTGGTGCCCCCTTGTACCAATATCTATGTGTTAAAATAAATAAATAAATAAATAAATAAATAAATAAATAAAAACTCTGTCACTAAATTGTATTTACAACTAAGATGCAACTACTGTCTAAAGCTTTGAAGTTATTAATCGTTGTTTAGATGAGATAGATATGTGATGAGTCGTAACCTAATTGTTTTAAAATGTGAAAATAGATTTATTTTTAAAGTTGTTACAGTATCTTGTGAAATAAGACAATACCTCTATATAATAAAATACAGTAAGATAAACATTAAAAGTGAACTTCAGAAGCAATGAAAATTAGGAAAACAAAGCATACTTTATCAAATGCCGGATGAGCTGTGACCGGAATTACCCTATAAGTAAAATTGTGAACGGAATCAAAACTAAAAAGGGTTATATTTAACGATATATAAATAATATGATAACAACTGAAGCATCTTGTGTGACCACAAAAAAAAACAAACAAACGTGATACTACAGTTATTGTTGAAGATGGAATTTTCCAATGAATCCAATGAATAAAACAACCTGATAATCATGTAAAGTGATTAAAGGAAATCAAAGGATGGTGTAATCGTTATATTACAACAAACATTAAAGGAATGGTTACTCCTAGAGCTAATTTGTGGATTCTTATTGTCAATATTCCTTTCGTCATAAACTTTCGGTTGAAACACTAATTACTGTTATATGATTTTCCTTTCCTAATCTGTTGCCAGATTTTATTTAGCCTACCCTACCCAGAGCCACTTTTGGGCTTGTTCATATATATTTTTATTTCATATACTATCATGTGATGGGATCTAGGTTGCCCAAATATAAACTACGTCTGCTTGAAATCTGATAGAGGATGGTTGGTGACTTCTAGACTCAAGACCAGAGCAGAGAGGGGAGCTGGGGTAACATAGGCCAATAAGGACTTAGCTGATTTAGCGTGTAATTGGTTCAATCGCAGGACATAGAGGGATGCGAAATAGACCAAATTAGAGCTTGGATTCTGACTCAAATATAGAATTTGGAACAATACATTTGAACCAATCTGATCATGAATCTACTTCTACAAAGTATGCAGGTGATAAGGAAAAATAATTTTAAAAAAGGATTGAAATCATCATCAAAATGTACAAAACAACAAACTACATATCTGTATAGGCTTTGACACAGCTCAGCTTTGATAATAAAAGATTAATAATCAACCTTAATAATTGATATAATTCGAAGTCAATTCATATGGTTTTCAGGAATAATTTTAACAGATTGTTGTTAGGTGATTAAAAGTAATCAATAAAAGCCCTGTCTGGTCTATGTTTCATAATAGTTGGCCTTTGTCAACAGAAATATAATCTTGAAGGAATCTATTCTTCCAGAGAGATTTGAAGTTGAATTACTCAGTATCACGGTTAGACATGGTAGGGGAATGAACCATTCAGATTGCAGCCAACATTCTGTTAAGTTGCGTTGGTTAGAGACATTGAGTGACATAGTTCAACATCGTTCCTGATGGTGTTAAGTGCGTTTACTTCTTACTTTTCCTTAGATCCTAAGTTGCTAAATTACCTAATGAATTACTTCGGACATATGGCATCAATGTCTAAAAACAAATTGCCTCAAAGGTCAACAACAGTATAAAAACGAAGATAAAAAATGTTATCCAGAGTGAAGATGAAGGGGGTATTTTACATGGAAGTATACAAAGGCAGGTTAGTGATTGGGGCATTTGATTTTCAACCACTGAGATCGTAGGTCTAGATCCCCACTCCATTTACTTCAGTTAGGGAATTGAAATATTATCACTAGACATCAAATACAAACGATATGGCTTAAAGATAAGTACATAAGCACGTGCTCGGCAAATGAGTTACATAATTAGTATATGGGAGCTTACATATTTGGATGTTTGATACCATGTTCACGTGCAAGCTGGCGATAGGCCAAACATGCAAGAAGAATGCTTTCTGTTCCTCCTGACGTAGTCTAATGGGTAAGAAGAAACAATAAATTTAGAAATAATACTATGAATAATGACTGAAGTTAGATACTGACACTGTTGGATGATGGCTCAGTAGGTTAGAGATTAAGCGTTTGCGCAAAAGGCCCCGAGTTCGTGTCGACCCTAAAAATGTGCACCTCACCTTATCCCTTAGTGTAAATACTTTTTGTCCAGTAAATGTTCCTTGGATTCACATTAAACTTCTCACTTGGATTAAGTACGTTGAAACTAACTAAATGTGGCAAGTGTACGTTGATATGCATAACTATCGTGTTTCAACTAAGAAACTTTCTGGATATATGCACGTAAACCTCTTATTAATTATTTTTTATATTACGGTTGAAGACACCTTTTTCTGCTATTTGAGATGTGGACGTGTCACTGTTTTCCCCTATATGAATGATCTTGACAACTGTATGTGTGATAAATTGTTTTTACTTAAACCACTATGTTGATCATTGTCGAGTACGCATATAATTCGTTTGGCCTAGAGAATTAAAAAAGAATTCACCAAGTATACAGTGTACTAGTACGCTAAGCTTTGCTAAAAATTTACTGTTTAACTAGTTAATACTGCACAAGATTAGAAGATATGGTGTTAATTTTAGAGAAAGGTAGACAAATTGCTACTAGTTTTTGGGAAAAGTAGATATTTTGAGGAAGGTAAAAGTGGTAATTTCGAGATATTTCCATTGAATGGGGAAATTTTGGGGAAAATACGCACTATTTATCCCGGGTCAGGGAAAAGGAGATATTTATAATCCATTGTTGCATATATTCACACCTACTTTTTCTTAAGACTTTTCCCAAAGATCGCCTTTATTTCTCCAATTTTGTTTGCCTAGGATAATCTTACTTGTGAACTTTATTCTAGTCGTTTACCAATATAGTTGGATATAGTAACTAGCAGAATGAAAACATACAGATAATCCCAGACGGTGAGTGTGTTATTTTTTTGGAGATGTAATGAAGCAAAAGTCAGACTACTTGTATGATTCTGTCGACCTGGATGTAGCAGAAATGCAAGTTGGGTACATCCGAGTAAAACGATCCAAATTTGGATCGTTAGAAACTCCCAACGTTCCAATTGCTAAGCAGTTGTTTTGTCTCCACAAATTTAAACTTGTTTGTACTTATAGAATTATACAAATTCAGACAAAGTCACTAATATCAACCAGTGCTTCAACACCTAATAACAGTGCAATTTGGGTTCGGTAAGCTTAGTTTGTCAATTGCCAAAGATAAATATGAGAATGACGAAACTGTCAGCTGACGTTGTCGAACTGTCAGCCAATATAGGACAGATGTTTTTGTTAAAAACACCTACGTTAGGTCATAAGTCAAACGGAATTTGCGGAGGACTAGCTAACATATAGTCCCCTCCGTGGAAATTCGCTCCGCTCAGGTCGCTAAGAACACCTCTAACCCAATTACCTTTCAGGTACTTCTAGAAGAAGCTTTAAACGATTTGAGCAAGCGGGAAGTGATAAACGCCCTCATATCTCTAACAGCACTCAAGACCAATCATTTTACCTCTTTGATTCCTATTATCCCTCCTACTTGGACTATCAAACCTAAACGTCCTCGTCAAGTGTCACTATAGCCAACGAGTCTAGTGCGCGAAATACTGTCCCAAGTCTACTGAAACCTACCTCCGAACTATACATTGAAGCCTTTAACGTGCGTACCATATGTCAAATCGACCGACAGGCCTCCCTGACTAAGACACATACAGGATCCTAGCGTAGTCATCCATTTTACTTAGCGAAAACGGGAAGCCGACGATATACACCCTCTGTTTATCTGGCGACTCGACGGAAACTTCTCGTGGACTGTCGGGTGTGGGCGTGGAACTAGGTATGAAAGCGGAACAAGCACTTTTAGAGTGGATCCCTATTAACAGTTGCCTATGTGCTGTTCGGCTAAACAGTTCCACAAGAACTCGGAAGGATAGGGACACACGTCGTTGATATTTCATCATTTCTGCCTACGCTCCCATTGACTGCAGTCCGAATGAAGTGAAAGATGAATTTCACAGAAAGCTTTCTGAACTTCTTCGAAAAACTAAGCACTCGAACATAGTGCTTGTAGCAGGTGACTACTTTAATACCCAAGTAGGTAGCTTAAGCCAAAGAGAAAAACATTTAGGTGGGTATTTCGGTTTTCCGGCTCAGTGAACAGATAATGTTGACCATCTGCTGAAACTGTGCTCAGACAATCGTTTATTTCTAACAAGCACTAATTTTAAACATAAAAAGACATCGTCTAACATGGCGACCCTCCGCACCAAACTAACGATGGACTCAAATAGGTCATATTGCCATCCGTCATCGTTGGAGGGGTTCGATAGAAGATTGCTGCTCGTTCTGGAATACGTGTTTGGACTCTGATCATGCCCTAATACCAGCACGCATCTGCTTGCACCTCAGTGGACGAAGAAAAGACACATTAAGAAGACTGATTAGAATTGAACTCAGTGATGATAAGACTAAATGTAAATACCAGGAACAACTAAGGTCACACTTAGGCAATTTTGAAAACGAGGATGGCCCAGATATTGCCTAGTAAGATATACGAACAGCTGCGGAAATAGCGGTGGCATCTATTGATGATTTTAATCAAAGGGTCGTGAAAAATCAGTGGATTTCTACGACATCTATTGCACTGATAGATTTTCGTAAACTTACTTCATAATCTCTCCAACAGAAACTTAAACAGTCACGAAATCACTCTACTAGAGAAGGGATTAAACTTCAATTTACACAGAAAACCACTTAGCACTCTTGAAATCGCTCCGATTATAGAACCAATGATCGCACAACTACCGGAAAAAGAGTCGCATTTACTACGTCAAAAGACATCCCATATTCTGACGAAACAAAAACACATTACCCCAAACATTTCAAAAGAAGAATTGAAGGCTCTGAATTCACTTAAAAAAGACAAAACGATTATCATCACAAAAGCCGACAAAGGCAACACAACAGTAATCATGAATAAAACAGATTATATTAATAAAGCTCTTGAACATCTCTCAACGGGACCTTATGAAAAGATCAATCCCAAAACTTCTCTAACGATTAAGAATAAAGTCAAATTAGAAACAAATCAACTTCTGAACGAGCTAAAACCAATCATTGGGGTCTCGCTTTGGTTTGCCTTGCATCCCAAATCATGTAATGTCTCACGGTTTTATGGCTTACCAAAAATTCATAAACCAGATATTCCTTTAAGACCAATAGTAGACTTCACAAACACCCCAACATATGCACTATCGAAATATTTAAGCAATATATTAAAACCATTACAACTCAACTTACATAATATAATTAAAGACACATATGACTTTAAATCAAAATTATCCGGATTAATCATCGAGAAGAATGAAATCATGGTAAGCTTTGATGTCGTTTCTTTATACACAAGTGTTCCCATTGATAAATGCTTAGAATTCATTAGTGGTTTACTTGAGAACGACAATACTCTTCCTGACAGATGTCCGTTGAGCATCAGTCTAATCATGAAATCCTTAAAACTTTGCTTAAATTCAACGCTATTTACTTTTAACGGTATGTTGTTCAAACAAACTAACGGTGTAGCGATGGGATCCCCCGTGTCCCCGATTGTAGCCAACCTTTTTATGGCATACATAGAATCAAATATCTTCGCCCACAACATTATACCACGAATTTGGCTTAGATATGTAGACGATACATTTGTTGTTATAAAAAAGACTCATCTAAGATCTTTTTCAAAACGAATAAATACACTTTCATCGCACATCAAATTCACGAATGAAAATGAAAATGTACATGGTGAACTACCATTCTTGGATTGCTTAGTAAAAAGAAATCCAAATGGAAGTCTAAACCTATCCATTTACCGAAAGCCGACGCATTCAAATCGTTATATTGACTTCCATTCAGCACATCCTTTCAGTGCTAAGATCTCGCTAGCCTTAAATCTTTTTAGAAGAGCTAACAAGATCATCACATCAGAGGAAGACAAACAAAAAGAACAAATGAATATAATTAGCATCTTACAATTTAATAATTTTCCTATGAAGATTATTAGAAGCATATTAAAACAACACAGTTTATTACATTATAATAATGATTCGAATGAAATGCCTTGGATTGGCACTGTAGTCCTACCATACCGTCATGGCACAACAGAAGAAATTCAAAGAATCTTAAAACATCACAGAATTAAAGTGTATTACAAAACAACGAACACACTACGTAATACTTTAGTTCGCCTGAAAGAAAAAATCCCTTTCATGTCCACACAGAACTGCGTCTACAAATTAGGTTGTATCGATTGTGATGCCTATTATATTGGAGAGTCATCCCGCGAAATCATGACTAGAGCCAAAGAACATATTAGGTACACAAAGAAACCTCCTAACAATCCTGTAGAATTGAACCAACTTCAAATTAAATCGGCAATAGCAGTTCATGCCATTTTCAACAACCACCAAATCGATTTTAAAAATATCAAAATATTGCAAAAAGGCTTTTCCAACTACAAAGAAAGGAGGGTAGCTGAGGCGTTCCATATAATGCTTAATCCTACTTCTCTCAATAGAAAGAAGGCCTTACCATACATCCTACTTGGACCATCTATCCTAACCATTCAGTCTGATCGTATTTACAATTTCACACTATCATATTACAAATTTAAACTCTATCCTTTCTTACCATATAGGTCACACAGTTTTCATTCTTAAACAATGCACACATACATACATACACAAATTTACATACTTATCACTTATGAATCACCTTGACAGAAATGACATACATCAACTTGTTCAGACCTGTTTTTGATTGATCAAATATTATTCTTGCATTGTTCCGTTGTACTATTTAAACTTGGATTAATTTAATTTGGTTATTTATTCTCTGAAGAAGTGACTTACACTAAGCCACGAAACGTCAGAAAAATCCAATTTTCTACTCATTGGGATATTACAAATATATTATTTTTATTTACTCCATCAGGTTACGAGCACGATGACAAGCCAGAACAAATCAGACCAAGGGTAGCTAAAAGTCTACGGAACGACCGTGAACAGTGGTGGGCAACGAAGGCATGAGATGGAAAAGGCAGCGGCTGTAGGTAACACCAGACAGCTTTTCAGACCAATAAAAGAAACCAAAATTAAGAAGTCAAGTGTAAGTGAGACGATCTCAGAAAAAAGACGACATTTATCTACTCTCAGCCCAGACGTTTAGAATGATGGGTGGAAAATTTTAAGGAGCAGTTCAGCTGGCCTTTAGCTACTCTACAGCTACGCACAATTACCGACTATAATTGAAGTTCAAAATGTCATAACTAATCTGACACAAGGGAGAGCAGATGGTTCAGATGGATTAACTTTAGAGGTTTTTAGAGATGAAAGTCCAGTTTTAGCGATTAGGTTGACTACTATTTTAGCTAAAATCTAGGAGTTGGACGTTATCCCATCTAACTGCTCACAATCACTGATTGTCCCAGTATATAAGAAGGGGTCTAAATCATCCTGTGATAACCATGGTGGGATTAGTTTTACTAATACTAGCCTCAATAATTATCGGACGTCTAACTAAGACTCGTGAACTGCAAACGCGAGGAAATCAGACTGGCTTCAGGTCTAGTCGTGGCTACATCGACCACACATTCACCATTCGCCAGGTTCTAGAACATAGGCATGCTTATCGGCGTCCGACAATGTTAGTTTTTTCAGACTTAAAAGCATCATCTGAGTCAGTAAACCAAGAGGTTCTGTGGCAGTGTCTGTTACTGAAAGGTATACCTCAGAAGCACATAAACCTTGTGAAGGCTCTTTACTCGAATACTACCAGTCAAGTCAGAGCCTATGGCGAAATATTATCTGATTTTGCAACCTCATGTGGTGTCTAGAGAGACTGTCCACTACCGCCACCTCCGTTTAATTCCACCATAGACCTACTGATGGAAATAACGTTCTCGTCGTACGAATTTTCAGAAACTGATCTCCTTCCAGGAGGTCAATTTATCGACTTAGAATATGCAGATGACATAGTCCTGTTTGGTGAAGACGCTGACAAAATGCAGAGTCTTCTGGTAGCACTAAGCAACAATGCCAGAATGTTTGGGATGCGCTTCTCTCCCTCTAAATGCAAGTTGTTGCTTCAGGACTGGTCTGCGTCTACACCTGAACTAAGGATAGGGAGTGAAGTAGTCGAACGAGTTGACTTCACTTATCTTGGAAGTCTGATCAGCCCTAATGGGTTGGTGTCTGACGAAATCTCAGCACGGATTCGTAAAGCTCGTTTGGCTTTTGCCAACTTACGTCACCTTTGGCGGAGGCGAGATATCCGTCTATCAATAAAAGGACGAGTATACTGCGCGGCTGTTCGTTCTGTTTTAATTAACGGCAGCGAAACATGGCCCTTAAGAGTAGAAGACACCCGTAAGCTACTAGTATTTGACCACAGATGCCTTAGAAATATTGCTGGCATCTGCTGGGATCACCGGGTAAGTAATAGTGAGGTTAGACGCAGGGTATTAGGGAATGATGGTAAACCAGTTGATGAGGTTATGAATCTTCATCGACTGAGATGGTTGGGCCACGTATTACGTATGCCTGAACACCGATTACCGCGACGTGCAATGCTAACCGGTGTTCGGGATGGTTGGAAGAAAGTTAGGGGCGGCCAAACCAAAACGTGGCATCAGTGCCTGAAGTCACTAACTTCTAGTCTGAGCCATGTTGGTAGATGCAGACTACTTGGTTGGGGTCCGCGTGACTTTCGTAACCAATGGTTGGAGACCCTTGGTGACATGGCTCAGAATCGATCACAATGGCGTCGGTGTATACACTCTCTGTCTTCTCTTAAACTAAGAGATTAAGATCACTTCACATCTTTCTTTCTACAAACTAATTCTTTCCTCCTATACTATATCCTTATTGCAATCTTTCTCCTATATATTACCACCTTTGACCTAACCACTCCTATGAATCCGGTGATCATCTTGCTGTGCTAATGAGGTATGGCAACCTGGGCCGATGCATACATGTGTCTGGTCCTACGTTGTAGCTGACTGACTGACTGGTAGCACTGAGCGACAATGCCTGGGTGCTTGGAATGCATTTCTCGCCCTCTAAATACAAATTTTAGCCTCAGGACTGGCCTGCGCCGATACCTGAACTAAAAATATGGAAAGAAGTGGTCGAATGCGTCGACGACTTCACCCATCTTGGAACTGTGACCAGCTTTGATGGGTTGGTGTCTGACGAAATTTCAAAAAACTCGCCTGGCTTTTGCAAACATACATCACCTATGGAGAAGGTGAGATATTCGTCTATCAATTAAGGGATGACTATGCTGCAGATTATTTCGTTTTGTTTTACTTCAAGGCTAAGAAACGTAGTCATTTAGGGCAGAGGACACTCATAACTTACTAGTATTTGATTACAGATGTCTTGGAAATATTACTCCCACCTTCTGAGATCACAGGGTAAATAATATTGAGGTTAGACACAGAATATTATGGAATGATGGTAAATCAGTCAATGAGGTTGAGAATCTTCATAGACTGAAATGGTTGGGACACGTAATACGCATGCTCACCCGTCTATTACCACTGCGCACATTGCTGACTAGTGTTGGAGACGGTTGCAAAAAAGTTAGGGGTGGCGAAATCCAAACGTAGCACCGGTCCATAAAGTCACTAACTTCTAGTCCGAGCCATGTTGGTAGATGCAAACTACTTGGTTGGGGTCGGTGTGACTATTGTAATCATTGGTTGGAAACTCCGGGTGACATGGCTCAGAATCAATCACAATCGCGTAGGTGCATACACTTTCTCTTCCCTTAAACCGTGAGATTAAAATTAATTTATATCTTTGTTTCTCCGGACTAATTCTTTCTCCCTGTATCATATTTTCACATGAAATCATTTTTACTACTCTTGAAGTAACTGCTTATATGAGTTCGGTGTTTATCTTGTACTAATGAGGTATGACAACTTAGACCGATGCATATATGTGGCTGGTTCTACGTTGTAGCTGTCTGACAGATATTAAAACAATTGAACGAATAAACAGATTTTACGTCTAGTACAGAATATATACCAAATGCTTTCAGGGATAGAACATTCACATCAGTTTTCTTTTTACCACAAAACGTTGTCCATGTTGATGTTGAAAAACATATTTACTTTAATTCCTAAACATCTTATTACTACTTTTAAAGTATATAATACAACTAACAGTAATTTACAGATTATTTGAATTAGTCCTATGATGTAATGAACATCAGAATTTTGATGAGTTTCTGATATCATTTGTCCATGAGGTCGTATGTACATAGATCCTAAAAAGGGAACAAATGCGACGTAGAGCCCCAAATGCCCTAGTACGACCGAATGTGAGGAGTCAGCTCTCACTTTCGAAATGCTCTCACATTGGACTGAAGTATACAACCACTGTCAAGAAAGATTTACTCACTGCCTTCTAGGGGTGATGATGTTGTTTAGGAAATTGAGATGATGGAAAGCGAATGTCCGATGCTTTAACCGGGTGATGGATACAGAGGATACAACTAGGGGAGTTGGCAAACCTTGATTACAAACTAATGGTTCACATGGGCTTCAGGATCCCTAGAGTACAGATGGCGTGTGAACCTACTATTGATCACCGGCTACCATGGGACCGCATCTCCAAGACGCTGCTCCACTGCTTTGTGGATTAGACCTCTAGGTCAAAGGCTAGGGAAGTATCCTCTTAAGAAAAACATCTGCTTCGGTTTGGGTGCCTGAGAAGTCTTTTAGTCCACACAAAAATCGAATGATGAAGTGTGGCACATATCTATTTGGTATCTCCTTGTATCGATGTTTGCATTAAAAAACCGGGGTATCTGGTCAAATGAAAGACTTCACTCTTATTCACTAAACAATCTCAACTTTTTGTAAGGTATTATACTACGGAAACATACGTATTGCTGTGCTTTGACGCATATTTGAGTATGATAATGTTTACCCTTAAAGGAGTCATATGTCTGTTACAACATGTGGAAATGAAGTTTTGTTAGTCTGTGATCTTTCTTCCTCATTTGTAATCGATTATTTGTTAATTAACTAGCAATCCATAGTTATACTATTTCGGGTGAACGTTTTTTGTATAAATAGTATCTTTGATTTCATAATATACATTCGTTTATATTCAACCAATTCGTTAGTAGTTCTGTCTTTTGAAATATACTTTGTTATGATGTGAGGCTTATGTACCATGAATAAACTATGTTGGTAATCACATGACAGCTAAGCCAATCAAACAGTCATAAAAATCACACTAGTAGGTTTTAATGCACATACAATTCAATGAATTTGAAATAACTTAAACTTACAGTACCGCATGCATCTTTATCTCCATGGAACATTGTAACACACATACGTACAACCTCAGCTTCCATTCGTCGAATATCAACAAAAAGCTCCGGATGTAATGGATTTGTCCAGAGGAATTCCTTATAGATCTGAACACAGAATAGATGGTGGAAAGCATATCAAAACTGGTATTATTAATCATCGTCATCATTAACGTACGCAAAGTGGAACCTGACACGTTTGTGCATCGGTTCAAGTTGGCATATCACATTGGTACACCAAGGCAAAATTATTTTAATACAAATTTCAGAGTATTAGGAGTAACAGTATCGGCTGTAGTAAGAGAAGTTTACGCACAGAAAAATAAAGAAGTGTATGGGAATTTCATGATATTATCAAGTCAGAGATTTAAACATAATGAAAACAGATTTGTTTAGGAAAAGACCAAGGACCTAAAACTTCAGTCTGATAAATTTGGCACTTTTTCTTAAAGTAGAAAACCGGAAACAAGACCTTTGTTTGGCGGTTGATGGGGCTTACTTAAATCTGAAGATAGTTTTTACGGTTTAATTGATGGATGTGTGGCAATTACTAAAAATACTGGGTGGTTGTCGTGCTGCATTATAAATGTATGTAAGATATTAATGTCGACTATTGAATTTCAACCTTGTAGTCTAAAGATAATACACATAATGCGATAGATAGAAGCAAGAGGTTCGATATCTATAGAGGTTGTGGGCTCACACTGCTGAAAAGTCCCGGATTATAATGACAGATGCATTTACCTATACTAAAGAATGAGTAAAATAGAAAAGTACGTACTATACTTGTTTGATGGTTAAAAGTCACTTGATTTTTCCAACTAATGACGATATAAGCACATTGTTATAAGTGACGAGAAGCCGAACAGTTTTAGTATACTGAAAGAATATTAGTGTAAAAAACAATTCAAATATTATATTTTAAACACGGAAACTTTTATAAAATCATAATTTGTTTAAACAAACAATTAGCAGATTTCCAACCGTGATAATTTTATCCTTAAACGCGATAACAGATAGGCGTGAATGTTGTTTTACAAAGTAGTAAACATTCGTATGCTGTGAAGTGTTGACAAAGGGAGTAGATAAGTCTAGACATCATTTGAAGATTGATTGATTGATTGATTATTATTATTATTAATGGCTCTATTCAATATTATATTTTGGTACAATATAGAATTCTCAGCACAGGGTATTTCAACAAGTTACTTACTGAACAACGAACAAAAAGGCAGTAGCAAATACAAAAAGAAATAAAAAACCCAAAAAAACTGTACAAACTTTTAAAATTAAAGACATGTTAAGAATGTAAGTTATTGACTAGGTTAATTCTAACAACCTGTTCGTCACAGAGTATATTTGCTAGGTAAGGTATTATAGAACCCTAATCTTCCCGATTACTGCTTATACTCTTATTACCTCTACCACTACGGGATTTGAATCGACAACTGCATCTCTGTGTTAATGTGGTGTGGCAACTCGAACTGATGTACGTACGTACGAAGTTCTACGTTGTTACCGACTGACTGACTGACGTCTCGTTCTACCAGAAGATATACAGGAGAAAGATAAGAGTGAAGGGGATGGCTAGTATCTGATAAAATAACACCTGCCAGGAGTTTGCATGATTTTAAATGTCTTTCCACAACCATATTAATTATGACCTCAAAAGATTCACCACACACCTTGCTAACTGCCTCCAGCACTCTTCGCAATACAGCAAAGTCTTTTCTCAAAAGCCCGGGAAAGAATAATGGAGAACAGTAAAGAATAATAGGTAATATGCAAGAATTGACAAATTGTAAGAGTAAATGACGAGTAATTCCAAGAGCATTCAATCGCTTTATGTAGTAGGTCAGACGGAAAACCTTCTTCGATAACGATAAAAGGTGGGAAGACCAAGACAGATCAGAAGAAAAGGTGACACCAAGATAATTGACCTTCGACACTGAGTTTATCAAAGAGTCTCCGATGGTACAAGCACTATGGGATCTCAAAATAGTGTTTATATTCCGTTCATGTCTCATACTAAAGTTAACAGCTTGACATTTAGATGGATTAAGTATGAGACCATTACCAACAGACCAACAATCAATGCGAGACAAAAACTCATTCATTTCTATGGGATGTAAAGAGGAAGATATAGGCATACATACAGTGAGATCATCCGTATACTTCACGAAAGTGTTTTCTGTGGAAGATGGCAGGTCATGCAGAAAAAAAGAGAATAGAAGAGGTGAAAGAACAGTCCCTTGTGGTACACCTTCATGAGACAGTAGAGACTCCGAACTCTTTCTCCAAACACAGTGTACTGTTCCCTTTCAGAGAGGTAGGAACATAGCCAGTTAGTTATCCAGCTGTCAGTGTTGACGCTGATTAACTTGTTAAGTAAACGTTGTCTTGGTATAGAGTCAAAAGCTGAAGTATAGTCCAGAAAAGCACATCGAACATACTTCTTACCCTTTTCTAAGTTCAACACTATGTTGTGATGCAGAACTGCAACAGCATCTAAAGTGCTTCTTTTGCGCCTGTATGCAAACTGGTATGGGTCAGTTGAAAGTGATATTACTTGTCTTCGAGTTTTTGAGTAAATCGACATGTTAGAATAGACTAAAGGCTAGTTAAATCCACTTTTGTCAATTATACCTGACAAAGTGGAAATATAATTACCTATAAAATCATTAGTTTGGTTTGGTTATATTACGTAGTTTTTATAGATTATACAAAGGAATTAAATTGAGATCAATAACCATACAAGTCACAAGAGACCAGTTTTAGAGTTCCTAAAGAAGGAAATGTTCTTCATAGATGATGCTCTTAAGCTTCTTTCCAATCACGAGTGAACGCAAGGTTTAGACAATGTAAGTGGTTGTTAGTGATTTATATTATTTCTACACGGATTAGGGAGCATACTATTAGCTATCAAGTTATTCTTCACTACTTACAGTTCAAAAATGCAACTACACATGGACAGAAGAGTGCTCTTTCGAATGCTTACGTGTCTTTTATCACGATCTAATTACAGCTATGACCAATAAAGCTGAAAGCTTGGGTACACAATAAAATTTAAAATAGACAAAAAGTCTTAATCAGTGTATAATCAGTGGTAACTTACATCCGTGCACAAGACTGTAAGAGCATTATCTCTTGGGTAAACGCTTCCAGAAACAAAGCCTTCGTTCCACTTTATACATTCTATAGTACATTCTACAACTACATGTTATGAACAAACCCAATGTTTTATACTTCCGGGCACTTGAGAGTACATTCTCCTAAAAAAATTCAGATTACTATAGTATGGATTACCACAGTTTGTCCGCAGATAGGAAGGTTCTTTTCAAATACAATATGTGAGGTTTTTTTATGAACCTCCTTATGTATTTCTTTTGAAGCTTCATCTATCTTCTTATTAATGTACGATCTTATGAAAGGGGTCTTTCTCACACAGGCAAAAAAGGAACATACAAGCCTACCATCAGATATTTCTTAACAATAATTGCTGTAACCATCACTTACCGAAAACTGACAAAATGAGCATAAAGGTTATAGATGATACTATCAAGGCAGAGAAATTGTATTCACACAAGAGGTCTATATACAGGTTGAATCCAAATTTTGCTGCCGAAACTACATCTAAGAGCTGGAAATTGGAAAGACGATGACAAACAATGTACTTACTAAACTATCCATCCGAAAGAACCCAGACCTTGAAACTAATTATAGCGCGGTCTCATCGATAATGAGAATACTGAACGTTGCATCAGAAGAACAAATGGGGAATTAGAAGTGTTTCGAACTGCAAATATTGGACCTTATTGTGACATTTTCATTTTTGGAGTCTTGAAGGAATTCGTGGTGGCCATCAACTACACTTTTTTAAAACCAATTATTATTTCTATGGAAATAGAGTTCAGGAAGCTCACGGCTTTTGTGATTCCTTTTCTTTCCTCTTCTTTCAGTATCAAATTTTCCCCGAAGTATTTATTTCACGGTGTTTATCTCACTTCCCTCTGTTTCACTCTCCAAGACATTTTTTCTGTGAGGGAAAAACTGTATCAGTTTCAGTTTGGAAAGGACAGGAGGCTTGATGGCCTGTGTTAGTCTTGGCAATGGTGGACTCTCAGTTGATCCAACTTCCTTTTGAAGGAGTCGGCGGATAGAGCCGCAATCACGTGCTGGGGTAATGAGTTCAACTCGTTGATGATTCGATGAGAAAGTCTATAGTCAGCTGACAAGTAATTTGTTCTTGGCTTGTGAACTTTTTTGGAGTGTCCTCGTAGATTCTCTGTTTTGGAAGACGAGAAAAATTAGGGCATATCAGGTGTAAGTTTATCACTAAGCAGTTTGAAAACTGTAATCAAGTCGCCTTTAGTTTTACGATATGACAATGGGAAAAGGTTCAGCTTGGCCAGTCGAGCTTCATATGGAAGCTTCGCTACTCCGGGAATCAGCTTGGTTGTTGTTCACTGAATCTTTTACAGAAGCTCACTGTCTTTTTTTAAGTAGGAGCTAGCTGCTTGTGTGCAGTACTAAAGTTTGGGAGGTACGAACACTGAGTACAAAGTCAAAAACGTTTTAGTGTCGACATAAATAAAAGCCCTACGTATTGACCATAACGTTCTAAAACCTTTGGCGTCTATTGCACGGCAGTGTGCAGTAGTCTTTAAGTCTTGACTAACGATAACTCCTAAGTCATTATATGTCTGGACGACAGGTAGCCCAGTGTTATTCATCGTGTATGTATCTGTGCCTTGATGACCGATATGCATCACAACACACTTGGAAATATTTATCGGCAACTGCCATGTTTGAGACCATTCAGATAATCTCTTCAGGTCATTTTGAAGTTCTAAGCTATCACTCTTACATCGTATCGTTCTCCATATCTTGACATCGTCAGCATATAGCAAGACCGATGATGGTAGATGACAAGGAAGGTCGTTTACATACAAGAGGAATAGCACTGGCCCCAAAACTGTACCCTGGGGCACTCCACTAAGCACAGTTTCCCAACTAGATACCTTTGAGTTCACCCGAACTGTTTGTTGACGCTTAACTAAGAAGTCGTTTATCCACATCAATAGATTGCCGCCAATTCAGACATTTTTTGGCTTATATAACAGCCGGTTGTGTGGGACTTTGTCAAAAACTTTGCAAAAATCAATGTATGCTAGCATAGGGGTTGTGGAGATTATTAAGTTTTTGATTGAATTCATGAACCGATTGATGTTAAACCATCACAATTGAAAACCTGGAAGCACTGGACGGCCGTTTCGTCCTATTGTGGGACTCATCAACAGTGCGCATCCACGATCCCACTCGCGGGATTCGAACCCAATGCTTTTGTCTTCCCGCGCGAACTCTTAACCTACCGGATCACTGAGCCGACCGGCATCCGATGGTGATAGTTTCTAACATAAACCAATCCATGAAATTGCGAAACCAACTTCCATTGTACTGAGGTAGATACCTGTTTCTACCCAACATGGATTAGCTTCACTGGTCACGGCTTCTCACTAGAACTCCGAGAATCCCCTCATGAAGCTAATCACTGGTGAGCATGTGGAATTATGGTCTACTGATATTAGTACTGCTCTAATAATAGACCTAATCCTAAATTTGTAGATTTGTCATGATATAACTCCCTAATCTATAAGATCTTACGTGGAATTCACACCATCGACTACACCAACTCACTGTATCGTATCAATTACCAACACATGATGTAGAACACGGTTAGGCTAGTGAAAGAACATTATATATTCAATATGAATAGAAGACATAAGGTAACATTCAGCAGAGACCACGCCTGCATGGCCGAGCCATGCCATTCGATCAATTCTAATTCATTCAATTCATTGTTCGCGCCTTCTCCATCGTTAGGTATTTCTCCGCGTTAAATATTGAATATCTATTTTCTGAGTAGTCTCGTGTTCAGCTTTGTGGATTGTGCGGTTATTGTCCAATGCCACTACAAGCACATGTTGATTAGTAGTGTAGGAGTTGTAGAGATTATTAAGTTTTTGATTGAGATCATGAACCGATTGATGCTCGACAGTGACTAGCTTCGTGAGGGAATTCTCGGAGTTCTAGTGAGAAGCCGTGACCAGTGAAGCTAATCCATGTTGGGTAGAGACAGGTATGTACCTCAGTACAACGGAAGCTGGTCGCGCAATTTCGTCGATTGGTTGATGTTAGACACTATCACCATCGGATGCCGGTCGGTTCAGTGGTCCAGTAGGTTAAGAGTTCGCGCGGGAAGACGAAAGCATTGGGTTCGAATCCCGCGAGTGGGATCGTGGATGCGCACTGTTGATGAGTCCCACAATAAGACGAAACGGCCGTCCAGTGCTTCCAGGTTTTCGATTGTGGTGGTCTAACATCAATCGGCTCATGATCTCAATCAAGTTATGTTACGTCTACGTGTAACTTTCGGTCCTTAATAGCGCACCAGCTTTCGCGAGCGACTAATAAGTTAATGAGAAGAGAATAACCTATTCTGAAACCGTGCTGTTTCTCCTAAAGGATCCGGTTTTCATCGAGGTACTTAAACAGCTCCTTCCGAATAGTCTTTTCTAAGATTTTATCAACCACTCTAGTTAAGCTAAGGGGTCGATAATACTAAGGTTTATGTTTCGTACCTGTTTTAAAGACAGGAATTACTATGGAGTTCTTCCAATCTTTTGGTAAACGACCCAGCGTTACAGATAGATTAAAGCATATACTTATAGGGTTCGCAACGAAATTAGGTAATTTGTTCAGTAGTCTAGGATTCAATTCATCGGGCCCCGTGTATTTTCCCATGTCAAGCTTATTTAGCAGACCAAAGACATCGAGTTCTTTAATGGTCAAGCTATCCAGTGTATGCGTGGGGAGATTTGTATGCACTGACGTGAAGGGTGCTTCCATGGTGTACACATTGCTAAAGTAGTTGGAGAACACTTGAGCCTTACCAATGATGCGGCAGTACTATCTCCCCATAGTGCATGAATGTTTACTCTTCTTTTCGTCCTTTAATTTATATGTCAGACAATTTTCCCTTCCCATAATTATACATCGAAGATAGACGAAAGGTATTGTTCGAGTATTTAGCTTGTCTTGTGGAAGGAGTATATACATATCCCTGAGCGATTTTTTTACGGATATCACCACTCAGTGATCAATCAATCGTGAATACATCTCAGTCTTACAGGAGGTCACTCGCAGCCCGGATAGCCTAGTGGTATCGTCTCTGACTGTGAAACCTGGTAACACTGGATGGAATCCGTCAGGGAGAACCCGTTCCCTCAAGATAACAGGTACACCTTGCTGACGAGTGCCAAGTAACACGAAACCTGACTCCATGGTTTCCTGTTGACTACCTCCAACCACCCTTCTAGGTAATTATGTAAATATATGATCATTAGAAGTATATGACTTGATTTGTCAATCAAGACTTCCCGAAATAGTACAATTTAGAGAAGGTAGAATTAGATGAACATTTCTGAACATATTATATTTGAAATTCTTAATAAGTCTATAATCAAGTACAAAGTAATCCTAAGTCAATACAGATACTACAAAATATCATACGATAATATTAACTAATCATCATTTCTTTACAATGTATCACGACATTAAAAAAATACATTTGTTCCTAGTTTTTTTAAAGCGAAAGTTATAGCAATAAATAAACCCCCAAAATAAATAGCTCAACAACCCCTGCAATCGCTAGCTAGATTAGATCAGACGATCCTTGATATATTGATAGCCTATCAAATATATCTTCGAACCTACTCGCTTCTTTCTTTTGATTTTATTTGGTGGGTACGATTCATGTTAGGTGTTACTGGTTGAAGCTATGTCAAACTCCGAATACCTGTGGCATCATCAAAGTAGTATAGATTTGCATTATATATTATAAAATATGGTTTACTAGTAGTATGAGAATCTACTTGAAGGTAAGTAATACTAATGCTATGAAAATCTTAATTAATGCCATACATGAAGCGTTTAACAGAAATTTGTACATGATATCATGTTTGTATTGCAAAAATTAAAATCAATCTGTAAAGTTAACTCAATTGAGTATGTATAGTAGAAATTTTATTCCTTAAGTAGGAATTCTAGATGACTGAGAATGACAATATATGAACATTTAAAATGTGTCAAGTAAATGATAATAACTATAATATTGAATATAGAGATATATGAGCTTTGAATTTGAATTTGAAAAGTTCAAGAATTGAATGTTGAATGACAATCATCTAAACAGATTCAGGATATTATTTTAATTATTCATTGGTAACAATATTGATATTTTAAACTACAAACAAGAAGTCATCAACGAGGAAACTCTCAGGTACCTTTGTATAGGTATAGGAATATCTCTCTTATTGTGTAGGTTTTAAGACGGTGAGACGAATTATGAAAGGTTTGAGGTGAAGGAGTAAGTAGTATCGTTTTAAGACTGGTAGATGAATACAAGTTTCGACTTGAATTGAACAAATAACTGGAGTTGATGGTAGTCGTTATGTAGTGAACAAGAACACGGGTGGGAACAATCGAATGTATTTAACACAAAATTACAGAGCATCTCAATAAGATCTGAGAACCATATATTAAATTGTTAATTTGCAAAATGCCTCAGACTTCATTGTCCTTGCATTTTCATACAAATTGCATTCTATTCCCACTCTTGCTTTTTTGAT